TGAAAGTGGCAGCTGATTGTAGTGAAGTAGCCATTTTGTTTTTGCTTTGTTTTTTGTTATCTTGTTCCTTATTACAAAGGATTAGCAAATTATTTTTGTGGCTTTGGTGTAAGATAAGAACTAGGATAAGGGTCTTCTTTCATTGGTTGATTTGTGTTAGTACTACTGGTTTCATGGATTGCCAGGTGGCGATCTTGGATGAATATATTCAATTTTGTTTTATCCTAATAATTCTTTAGATTTTGAGTTTCAATTGCCCGAATCAAACCAGATTAATTGTGCGTTTGAAAATATGTTTCGGATTAAGTCAAATCATTTTTCAAATAGGATGGCTAGTTTAAAAAAAAATGTTATTCATCCTCAGTGGAAATGCATCCTCAATTTATGTGGATATAAATGATTGGTTAAATGATATGTAAAATTAAATGATTTATTTAATTTCACCTATCATTTAATGCCACATTAATGCCATATAGACTGGGGATGTATCCCCACTGGAGATGAATAGCATTTCTCAGTTGAAAAATATGTTTCGTACGGGTAAACACTGTTTTCCAAATATGAGGACCAACTTGACTTTCAAACTCATCAATCTTCAAAATTGAAAAAAAAAAAAAAGGAATAATTTTTTGAAAAATATAGAAGATAAATAAAAATAAACACTAAAAATTAATTTTTTATAGTTTAAATAACAGAATCATATTAGAACTTATTTAGAAAAAAAACAATTGTTTGGTCAAAACTAAAAGCGATTAACTAAAATACAATTTCCTAAAGTAGCTTTTACTTTTTTTTCGTGATTAATAAAAAGTTTTTTCCTGTAAAATCTTCACTTAATTTTCATGGTACTCAACTTTGGATTTTACTCTTAAATTGACCCACAAACTTCCAAAACTGATCAAATTGGCCCCGATCGGATTTTTTTTTTTTTTTTTTTCAAGTTTCTTAGTAATGAAAAGATAGTGAAAAGAATTATAGGTATGGGTATATCACTTCTCTTTATGGGAACATTAACAATAAAATACTCAATTAATTTTATTTTTTCTTCGATTTCACCTCCTGTTATCCTATCCTATACAGCTGCAAAATCCAAAAATATTCCCAAATATTCAGATTCAGTAATTCCGAATGAGCAGGAAAAAAATTGTATTCGTCATCTTTATAACTCCCAAACCATACAAAAAAAAAAAAAAACGAATTTAATTTCGTGATTCTCTCAGACAAATGCCTCCATTCTTCGTCATGATTTTCGAAAGAGAAAGTATTACATGCCTGAAATCCAAATCGAATGTATTATGATTATAAGGTTTTTTAAGTACCAATTGTCGACAATTAAAGGGTCCCGATTTTTGGGAGATTTTTAGTAATGATAGTGAGCGATTCTACAAAAAAATAAATAAATAAAATAAATAATAAAATATTTAAGTATTAACTTTAAAATAAAATATTTACTTAGAATTAAAATTTTAATTTTTAAGTAAATTTGATAGTTACAAGTTAATTTTGTACTTTAAAAATATTTTTTTTACACATAATTGAATTTTTTATTTAAAAGTACTATTTTTACATTTTATAAGTGAATTCTTGTCTTATTAGTAGTACTTTTACTTTATAATCATTTTTTTTTATAAAATGAAAAGTTGAATTTTTATGTTATAAATAATTTTTACTTATAAACAATTTGTGTAGTTATAAAATAATTTTTTTTACTTATAAATAAAGTATTTAGTTAATATATTTTTATTTACTGGTTAGTTTTGAACCAAATAGGCGAGTTAAAAATAATTATTAAGTAAAATTAGATGAGAATTTTAAAAACGACAAAAAACCAACCGACTTACCGACTTTGGGAAAAAAAAACCTACTCAAAATCAATGCCCAAAAACACCCAACAAGTACCTATTTTTTCTTACCTTTCATTAAAAAATAAAAATTAAATAAAAACCTTAACCTCCGAAACAAGAATTTTAACTAGGATTTGTGGTTTTTGAAATGACTAATATGCCACTCCAGTCTCCAGTCTTGACTTATTTAAATAGGTCCAACCCAATCCACCATTACACTCTGTTTGGTGTGATTCAAAAAAGTGATAAAAATTTAAATAAAAGACATTAAG